TTTTTATTCATGTATTACGTAAGAAATAAAGGCAATATTTATTTTATTAAATTTTCATTATTTATGCAACACAATATGGAAAAAGGTCAAATGCCGATATTGTTCATAGTTTTTTCTTATTATATAAGATAAGATATCTTAAGTACAGTCTTAAGATGTCACAAACTAATCATAACAGCCGTATGAGCGTCTTAAAAGACATCATTTATGAATACTAGTCACGGACTGGTACACGCAAGTGAGGCGCGCGCGCCGGCCCTGAGTGCTACATGGATCCGAGCGCATGCCCGTGTCACACTACGGATTGCGAACGCGGATCGGATTGGGATTGCGAATCGCGGATCGGAATTCAGCTAATCAAGACAAGGCAGTTTCGGATCCGGATTGTAGATTACAGAATAGACGGCTCTCTATTTTTGCGATCCGTAATCGTAATCCAAGCCAATAAAACATCGAGTTTGGTCACGTGACTCATTTATGATGGATGAATAAGCATCGTTTGTGTGGTTAGGTTATCTGTGCTCATCATAACTCATACAATGGGTCCCAAATTTCGGGACGCAACTTTTAAAACCATTTTATCGAGAGAGAATGTACACAGCAAACGTCGACGACACGACAATTGCGATACAGCATATGTTACAAATTGAATCCGTAGTCCGTACCATGGTCCGTAGTGTGAACGAAGAATCCAAATCCGACGATCCGCAATCCCAATCCAATCGGATCCGCGTTCGCAATCCGTAGTGTGACACGGGCATGGTACAATTTCATGCAGCGAAGCTTCGCTGGCGAAGATCCCCCACTCCGCCGACAACGAAGCCAGCGTTCAACGCTCTTCGCTGAAACCCCGTATCCTTTTCATGGGCGAAGCTTCGCCAGCGATGTTCCACTACTGCGCTACAAATAAAAAGAGCGTCCTGGAAAAACTTAACTCCAAAAATAAAGTGAAATATTTTCAACTGTTCGGTAAGTATAACGAAACATTATTTTTATCTTTATTAATATTTAGT